AATTCCCGGGAACAGCTGTTAAAAATTGACCACTGTCTGGAAAATCTTCCAGCTCCTGCCCCAAACATCTTGCTCCTGGGGAATTTCAGCTTAAGGCACCTAAAATGGAGGAATATAGCAAATAATGTTGTTGCAGTGATAACACCAGGAGGCAGCTCTGACGAAAACTCACACACACACGAGCTTTTAAATCTCTGCATAAAATTCAACTTAATTAAACCAGCAAATAATAGAGCCTACTAGACTGGAAAATACACTAGACCTCATCTTCACTAACAATGATGATCTGATAAGAAATGTCACCATATCAAAAACAATATACCCAGATCACAATATAATCGAGGTCCAGACATGTATGCGCGGAGCCCCAGACCGACATAATGAGATTAGTCACGAGGGAGCCTTCACCAAATTCAACTTCAATTACAAGAACATAAAGTGGGACCAAGTAAACCAAGTCCTAACCGATATAAGCTGGGAAGATAGACTAAGCAACACAGACCCCAACTTATGCCTAGAACAGATTAACTCGGTGGCACTCGATGTATGCTCAAGGCTTATTCCTTTAAAAAAAAGGAGGAGTAGATGTAAAATAGAAAGAGACAGGCGCTCCCTTTACAGGCGACGAAAAAGAATAACAGAGCGGCTAAAAGAGGCCAATATATCCGAAATGCGTAGGGAGTCACTGGTCAGAGAAATAGCAAACATCGAACTTAAGCTAAAGGAATCTTATAGGAGTTAGGAATCGCGGGAAGAACTAAAAGCCATAAATGAAATCGAAAGAAACCCAAAGTATTTCTTTTCCTATGCCAGATCAAAGTCGAGAACAACGTCCAGTATTGGGCCCCTACTTAAACAAGATGGGTCCTACACAGATCAAAGCAAGGAAATGAGCTACTCAAGTCCCAATATGACTCAGTTTTTAGCAAGCCGCTAACCAGGCTGAGAGTCGAAGATCAAAATGAATTTTTTATGAGAGAGCCACAGAATTTGGTTAACACAAGCCTATCTGAGGTTATCCTGACACCAAATGACTTCGAACAGGCGATAAATGACATGCCCATGCACTCTGCCCCAGGGCCAGACATATGGAACTCCGTGTTCATCAAGAACTGCAAGAAGCCCCTATCACATGCTTTTAACATCCTGTGGAGGGGGAGCATGGACACGGGGGTCGTCCCACAATTACTTAAAACAGCAGACATAGCCCCACTCCACAAAGGGGTCAGTAAAGCAATAGCAAAGAACTACAGACCGATAGCACTAACATCCCATATCATAAAAATCTTTGAAAGGGTCCTAAGAAGCAAGATCGCCACCCATCTAGAAACCCATCAATTACACAACCCAGGGCAACATGGGTTTAGAGCAGGTCGCTCCTGTCCGTCTCAACTATTGGATCACTACGACAAGGTCCTAGATGCACTAGAAGACAAAAAGAATGCAGATGTAATATATACAGACTTTGCAAAAGCCTTCGACAAGTGTGACCATGGCGTAATAGCGCACGAAATGCGTGCTAAAGGAATAACAGGAAAAGTTGGTAGATGGATCTATAATTTCCTCACAAACAGAACACAAAGAGTAGTAGTCAACAGAGTAAAGTCTGAGGCGGCTACGGTGAAAAGCTCTGTTCCACAAGGCACAGTACTCGCTCCCATCTTGTTCCTCATCCTCATATCTGACATAGACAAGGATGTCAGCCACAGCACCGTGTCTTCCTTTGCAGATGACACCCGAATCTGCATGACTCTTCCATTGCAGACACTGCAAGGCTCCAGGCGGACATCAACCAAATCTTTCAATGGGCTGCAGAAAACAATATGAAGTTCAACGATGAGAAATTTCAATTACTCCGATATGGTAAACACGAGGAAATTAAAACTTCATCAGAGTACAAAACAAATTCCGGCCACAAAATAGAGCGAAAAGCCAACGTCAAAGACCTGGAAGTGATCATGTCGGAGGATCTCACCTTCAAGGACCATAACATTGTATCAATCGCAGCTGCTAGAAAAATGACAGGATGGATTATGAGAACCTTCAAAACTAGGGATGCCAAGCCCATGATGACACTCTTCAGGTCGCTTGTTCTATCTAGGCTGGAATATTGCTGCACACTAACAGCACCTTTCAAGGCAGGTGAAATTGCTGACCTAGAAAATGTACAGAGAACCTTCACGGCACGCATAACGGAGATAAAACACCTCAATTACTGGGAGCGCTTGAAGTTCCTGAACCTGTACTCCCTGGAACGCAGGCGGGAGAGATACATGATTATATACACCTGGAAAATGCTAGAGGGACTAGCACCGAACTTGCACACGAAAATCACTCACAACGAAAGCAAAAGACTTGGCAGACGATGCAACATCCCCCCAATGAAAAGCAGGGGTGTCACTAGCACGTTAAGGGACAATACAATAAGTGTCAGTGGCCCGAAACTGTTCAACTGCCTCCCATACATAAGGGGGATTACCAATAGACCCCTGACAGTCTTCAAACTGGCACTGGACAAGCACCTAAAGTCGGTACCTGACCAGCCGGGCTGTGGCTCGTACGTTGGATTGCGTGCAGCCAGCAGTAACAACCTGGTTGATCAGGCTCTGATCCACCAGGAGGCCTGGTCACAGACCGGGCCGCGGGGGCGTTGACCCCCGGAACTCTCTCCAGGTAAATTCCAGGGTACCTGGGTGTTAGTCGATTGGTGTGGGTCGCATCCTGGGACAAAACTGACCTAATTTGCCCGAAATGCTCAGCAAAACAAGCGGCTTTCTATATAGTAGTATGTAACTGATATCAGATAGGACTGTATACCTTGTACATGTACTTGTAGAAATAAAGATATTATTATTATTATTATTATTATTATTATTATTATTATTATTATTATTATTATTATTATTATATTATTATTATTATTATTATTATTATTATTATTATTATAAAAACATTATTATTATTATTATGGTCGTTCACAGTGGATAAATGAGCGAATGTTCGTTCATTTATTTATTTATTTATTTATTTAAAAATTTGAGCACACATACAGAGGTACAAAAAATACAGATAAGAGCAGCATGCCAAAGCCACTTATACTATGCATAGCATTACGGACTGGCTTAAAAATAACTTAAGATTAACTAAGCAATGATGAAATCAGTGATAAAACTTTAATGTAAACAGATTACTATAAAGCACAAGTGAGTATTACAAAGACAATGAGGAAATGGTATGGTGATACCGACAAAAGAGGGGTAGTTATTGGCTTCTTTCTGAGAGCCTACAGAATTTCCAGTCCGCAGTTCCTCGAAGAAGAATGTACATACATCACCAACTCTTTTAGTTCACTACACTTTCCCCTACACTTCATACGTGACTGCAGGAAACGTGCAACACGTATCCTCAGCAAGACTAACACCTATCAAATTGAAGAAAAGCCTCCAAGTTACATCGTTTTACCGGTCAGCAACGTTGCCACTAATGTTTCAAAAATGTTTGACAGAAAACTGGCTAAAATATCTACCAGCTCTTCAACTACTATTAGGAACCTGATACAAAAACCCAAGCATGATTCTGGCACAAGTGCAGGAATCTACACTATACCATGTGGGGGGTGTGACAAAGTATATGTAGGGGAAACAGCCAGAACTCTGGACATTAGGATAGCAGAACACAAAAATGCTTGCAGAAATGATGACCGCAAAAAACGCATGTGTTCAACATAGAGACGATGTTGGACACCTCATGAAATTCAATGAAGCTAAACTAGTTATTAAAGAAGACGACTTAAGACGGAGAAAATGCATTGAAGCTGCACTAATTTCTGTCAGTAACACTATAAAGCAGAAATCCGGTAGTTACAGTATTTCAAAATTACTAAGCAAGAGGATATTACCCATCCTGGGAACTGGTGTTACTTGATGCCAGCAGGTCCCTCTCTAACCTCACCTCCTTAGTTCCATTACTACTACTACTACTACTACTACCACCTCTACCCACGCTTCACCTCACCTGACTCCCACCACTATATATATGTGTGTTTTCTCAGTTTTCTCTGTATTAGGACTGAAGAAGCCACTCGTGGCGAAACGTTTCCTTTAATAAATGTCCTGAACTGTACATAAGTGTCTTTTTCCACACACATTACAAAGACAGGTTATATGGTTGTATGCATTGTTGTACATTCAGTAGAATGGAGTATTCTGTTAGGTAGTGTATTTAAAAAATAATAAAGTTAGATTGGGTTTTAGGTTTAACATTTATGTGATATAATTGTGAGAAACATTTAAGATATACAATTTATAAGGTTCAGTTATTCAGTATTTATTTGGTTTTGGGTGAGTAAGTGATCTTTGAGAAGAGACTTGAATTTATAAACAGGTAGTGTTTCTTTTATATTTACAGGTAATGAATTCCAGATTTTAGGGCCTTTTATGTGCATTGAGTTTTTGCATAGTGTGAGATGGACACGAGGAACATCAAAGAGTGATCTGTGCCTTGTGTTATGGTCATGTGTTCTGTTGAGGTTGGCAAGATGTTTGAGGGGAGGGTTAATATCAGAGTTAAGTGTTCTATGTATGTAATAGGTGCAGTAATAAGTATGGATGTTTTGTATGGTGAGTAGGTTTAGTGTATTGAATATTGGTGGAGTGTGCTGCCTATAGTGAGAATTTGTTATCATTCTAACTGCAGCCTTTTGTTGGGTAATTAGTGGTCTGAGATGGTTACTTGTTGTTGAGCCCCATGCACAAATTCCATAGGTGAGATAGGGGTAAATATGTGACTGTATCTATATTTTGCCATTTAGTGACTGGTCGTTCATACTTAATATAATATAATGTCATTAAATTTACATTATTTATTGCTCATTACCTGACTTGTAGTTGATATGTATTTATTTATTCACATTAAATACACAGCATTGTGTGAATAACTTGTAGATTGACATTAGTGTTGATTTTGAAAGGTCGCTGGTTAGGCATCTGAACACTGTTCCCACCAGTCAAAACTCAGCTTTAAACCAGCTGTCCAATCAGAAGGTTTACAAGGAGGCAGGTGGGCGGGGGTGGCCAGCTGAGTGGCTCCACCGCGGCTGGACGTAAACATTGCTTGAAGATGGGCACAAACCAATCCAAAATTATCCTTTTTTGAGGTAGGAGAACATTGAATTACGTCTTTTTGACTTTAAACATTGGCATAAGGTACGTCTGAATCACTAGTTACGTGTTACTGTATGGAAATAGTCATTAAATTGCCTCAAAAGCGAAGCTTTGTGGGACAACTCCCACCATCTCAAAGGGAGAGTTAATGTTCTGAGGACAAAAAACATATAAGAAGAAAATAATGTATAAACACTGTAGTAGGCCCATTTTAGGCATGTCCAACTCACACCCAGCCGCATTCGTTATACAGTAAATGCACATGATACTGAAGTAAGTGATTTTTTATTGCTCTCTCAAACTTCTTTAAACCCTCAAGGGAGGTTCCTTGATCCCGGTTAGGGGCTCTTGATTTCAGGAATTGGTCTTTTTGCTCCCTTTCCTTACATCAAACCTGAATGTCTCCTGTTTCCAAATGTGTTGCATGGCCCTAACAGGTTTGAAGGTCGCCTACAAATGTAAAAATTATCCAACGCCCTCATTAACCTCAAGATTATTAGGATTATTTATCAGAGATTTCTTGTTTACTGTAAGTCACACAGGATATTTTCTCTAGTTGGTTATGTACTCATCATTAAGCATTGTATTTATAAATTCAAGATGGGTCCTACACAGATGACAGCAAGGAAATGAGTGAGCTACTCAAGTCCCAATATTACTCAGTTTTTAGCAAGCCGCTAACCAGACTGAGAGTCGAAGATCAAAATGAATTTTTTATGAGAGAGCCACAGAATTTGGTTAACACAAGCCTATCTGATGTTATCCTGATGCCAAATGACTTCGAACAGGCAATAAATGACATGCCCATGCACTCTGCCCCAGGGCCAGACTCGTGGAACTCCGTGTTCATCAAGAACTGCAAGAAGCCCCTATCACGAGCCAATATAACCAAATTCCCAGCCACCAAATTCCCAGCCGCCAAATCATATTTAAGTTTCCTGCCACCTGTGAGTCCCTACTACCCTCCCTCCGACCCCCGCAACTGGCAGCCAGCCCTCCCACCACTCAGTGTGGTGAGTGTTTTGTTTGTTCATTATTTGCTATTAAACTACAGTATAAATAATGTAAACCCATTCATGACTGCATATTGGAATGGCTATTCGGACAGGTATTAGACGGTGACATCATGTGTTTACTCTTGAACACAGCAAAGAATCAAACATTTCTGTTACTGCTAATAATAAAAATAATAATAATAATAATAATAATAATAATTAATAATAATAATAATAATAATAATAAATACGATATAATTGAAGGAAGTTGTACAAAAATACGAGGGAGTGGTTGACACATCGTCAGTGTGGCTTTGTTTATGCTGGAGTGAGCATTAGTCTCCGTGCTCTTCCAAACATTTCACAATAATTCATTGTTTGGTGCTTGTAGATTGAGTGCAACTGGAGTGGTAGAGGCAGCTGTTGAGGCAGCGATTGAGGCAGTGGTTGAGGCAGCGATTGAGGCAGTGATTGAGGCAGTGGGTGAGGCAGCGATTGAGGCAGTGGGTGAGGCAGCTGTTGAGGCTGCTGTTGAGGCTGCTGTTGAGGCTGCTGTTGAGGCAGCGATTGAGGCAGTGGTTGAGGCTGCTGTTGAGGCAGCGATTGAGGCAGTGGTTGAGGCAGCTGTTGAGGCAGCGATTGAGGCAGTGGGTGAGGCAGCTGTTGAGGCAGCGATTGAGGCAGTGGGTGAGGCAGCTGTTGAGGCAGCGATTGAGGCAGTGGTTGAGGCAGCTGTTGAGGCAGCGATTGAGGCAGTGGTTGAGGCAGCTGTTGAGGCAGCGATTGAGGCAGCGATTGAGGCAGTGGGTGAGGCAGCGATTGAGGCAGTGGGTGAGGCAGCTGTTGAGGCAGCGATTGAGGCAGTGGGTGAGGCAGCTGTTGAGGCAGCGATTGAGGCAGTGGGTGAGGCAGCTGTTGAGGCAGCGATTGAGGCAGTGGGTGAGGCAGCTGTTGAGGCAGTGGTTGAGGCAGCTGTTGAGGCAGCAATTGAGGCAGCGATTGAGGCAGTGGTTGAGGCAGCGGTTGAGGCAGTGGTATTTAATAACATACATGTTATTAATAATAATAATACATGTTGTTAATAATATGTACTATAATTATTTATAACATATATGTTATTAAATACCACTGCCTCAACTGCTGAATTATTGTGAAATGTTTGGAAGAGCACGGAGACTAATGCTCACTCCAACATAAACAAAGCCACACTGACCATGTGTCAACCACTCCCTCGTATTTTTGTACAATTTCCTTCTTCAATTATATCGTATTATTATTATTATTATTATTATTATTATTACTATTGTTATTATTAGCAGTAGCAGAAATGCTTGATTCTTTGCTGTGTTCAAGAGTAAACACATGATGTCACCGTCCAATACCTGTCCGAATAGCCATTCCAATATGCAGTCATGAATGGGTTTGCATTATTTATACTGTAGTTTAATAGCAAATAATGAACAAACAAAACACTCACCACACTGAGTGGTGGGAGGGCTGGCTGCCAGTTGCGGGGGTCGGAGGGAGGGTAGTAGGGACTCGCAGTGGTTGAGGAAGTGGTGGAGGCATTGGTGGAGGCAGTGGCGGAGTCTGTGGTATTTAATAACATACATGTTATTAAAGCATAACATGTATATTTTTAGTACAGTTTATGACGTTTTCATGTATTTTATGGTTGTTCACGGTTCAACAAGTTAAGGAAGCAGTATTGCATTATATTTCCCTACAATATATTGGGGCACCAAACATTCACGGTTTTTCAACATTCGCGAGGCTCTTGATCCCCTAACCCTCGCGAATGTTGAGGGAGACCTGTAGCCTGTGTTTTCTTGAGGAAGAGTTCAAAACCATAAAGAACATTTTTTAGAATATTGTAATATCCAACATTCTTCATCACAAATATCAAGAAAAGTGCCATAAAAATCTTGAAAACGATACAGGTGAAACCAGCAAGAAAGTAGACCAATATTTAATTTTTCTGTACATGTCATGTCGCCTCTAACTTCATGACCATTTTGAGCAAAGCCAACAGCAAAGTAGCTGCCATAGGGATGTCAGGAAGTATATCCTTAGTCATAGGGTTTTCAGAAGGAACAATCTGGGGAGTAAAATAGTGGAGGCAGGATCCATACATAGCTTTGAGAAGAGGCTTGATCAAGCTCAGGGAGAAAGGAGAGAGTGGACCTAGTAGCAGCCAATGAAGAGGCAGGGCCAAAAGCTATGACTTGACCCCTGCAACCACAAATAGGTGAGTACTTTCTACAGTTAGTGATCTCACAAGAAGAAAAAATGAACCATTGCATGGAAGAAAAAGCTGGTGCCCTAGCTACAAAATTCCAGTCAGTGAGTGTGACGAGATTTGTGTGGGAGAAACTGGCAGGAACTTAGGTTAAATCATCAGCGAATAGTATAAGCATTCAGCCCAGACAGATAACAAGAATAATGCTTGTGTCCAACATAGGAAGTGACACAGCCATCTAATGAGATTTCCTGACTCAAAACTCATAATAAATGGGTATGCACCCCATACCCATCCTGTGGGCAGTAGGCAAAAGATTACAGAGGTACATAATGGGTCCAGGGACTGGACCCCAAAGTTATGATAGGTGAACTAGTTACAGAGGTAATGACTCATGAAATCGTAATGACACGATTGCAAACAAACCATACCAAGGGTGGGATTGAACCCGCGGTCATAGAGTCTCAAAACTCCAGACCATCGCATTAGCCACTGGACCAGCTAGCCACAATAAGATTCATCCAACTAGGTATATTTCTACACCATAGGAAGGTTAGCATAGGCACCACTGTGACCACAAATGCAAGTTTTTACAGACGAATCCAGTGGCTAACGCGACGGTCTGGAGTTTTGAGACTCTCTGACCGCGGTTCAATCCCGCCCGTGGTATGTTTTTTTTACAGAGGTAATGAACTCCAGATAGATCTGGTCACAATCATGGCAAGTTACAAAGGTAATGAACCATTTACACTCCTCTACATGATTACAATCATGAACAAATTACAAAGTAATGAGCCACTGACACGTCCACACCCAGTCACAATTGTAATGAGTTATAAATACAAATATTAAGTGGGTCATAAACCCACATGAGCACACACACACATGAGCATGCATGCACACGCATACACACACGAGGGCGCATGCACAGACATGCATGCGAGCGTACAAACATATACACACACATAATGAAAGAAGGGGGAAAATACAAGGGAAAGACAATATGAAACAGCTCTAGTATTAACATCAAACACAAACACCCTAAGTTGAGGCAGTTTCTAACTTGCAAGACCATTAGCTATACAGATATTAAATTAGGTATAACACCACCAATAACTACTACTATAACAACTTGTTTGTAGTCCCATACCATTTACTAGTGGACCTACTTCAGTGCTTAATGGAGTTGTGGATGGGTGAAATATTCTACCAAGTAGAGTTACTGTATTAATGCTAACACCATGGGTAGCTATAAAAATAGGTTAAATATATGATAAAACATCCTATTCCTCATCCTCATATCTGACATAGACAAAGATGTAAGCCACAGCTCAATTGTCTTCCTTTGCGGATGACACCCGAATTGCCATGGCAGTGACCACCATCGAAGACACTGCAAGACTCCAAGCAGACATCAACCAAACCTTCAAATGAGCCACTCAAAACCATATGAAGTTCAATGAAGAGAAATTTCAACTACTCAGATATGGAAAACTTGAGGAAATTAAAACTGTATTAGGGTATACAACAAATTCTAACCACACCATAGAGCAAAAAAGTAATGTGAAGGACCTGGGAGTGATAATGTCAGAAGATCTCACCCTCAAAGACCACAACAGTGTATCATTTTCTTAGCATCTGCTAAGAAAATGATGGGATGGATAATGAGAATCTTCAAAACTAGGGATGCCAAGCCCATGATGATTCTCTTCAAATTGCTTGTACTCTCTAGGCTGGAATACTGCTGTACACTAACTGCCCCCTTCAAGGCAGGCAAAATCACTGACCTGGAGCATGTACAAAGAACTTTCACACCACACGTAAGTGCAATAAGGCACCTAAATTACTGGGAACAGTTTAAGTCCCTTGATTTGTATTCCCTGGAATGCAGGCGAGAGAGATGCATGATAATATACACTTGGAAAATCCTAGAGATTAGTACGAGACTTGCACCCGAAAATCACTCCCTGTGAGAGCAAAAGACTAGGCAGGAGATGCAACATTCCCCCAATGAAAACCAGGGGTGCTACAAAAACACTGAGAGACAACACAATTAGTGTCTGGGGCCCAAGATTGTTCAACTGCCTCCCAGCATACATAAAGGGGATTGCCAATAGACCCCTGTCTGTCTTCAAGATAGCACTGGACGGTCACCTAAAGTCAGTACCTGACCAGCCGGCTGTGATTCGTACGTCAGTTTGCGTGTGGCCAGCAGTAACAGCCTGGTTGATCAGATCCTGATCCACCACGAGGCCTGGTCTCAGACTGAGTGGCGGGGGCATTGACCCCCAAAACCCTCTCCAGGTATACTCCAGATATGAGTGAGAAAGGTTGTCTGAGAAGGACCTGCCAAGCATGTGCTAATAGGCCTGCTGCAGTGCTTCTCAATTCTTACATTCTCATGTTGTAATACATTTACTCTTTCATATACCTTAGCTTTTATGTAACATTTGTTTCTTTAAATACATTTGATTTTTTAATACCTGATCCATTTTTAAAATTTTTTAGGAAATAAAACTAAAAGAGAATGGTGCAAAATTTTCGATATACTGTAACTTCTTTCAAGAGTGCTAATATGGCCATCCTTTTACTTGTTTGTTTATGTGAATTTTGTCTTTTAATGTTCCAGGTTAGGTTTATTTCTTTAAATGGCAATTCTTATATTTTTCAGCCATGGCAGTTTGGGCTTGGCTAGTGTTGGGAGCTGCACTGCTGTTTGGTTCATTTGGTATTAAAGCTTGCCTGGCCCTTGTAGTATCTGCCATAGTATTTTGTGGAGGGTAAGTAATAATTTTTTTTCACCCCTTCCCATTTCCGTTTGCCTGTCTGTGTACAAAGTTTCTAAAAAAAAAAAAATCCACTTTCATGTAATGTCCTAGAAAAGTTGAGGGCTATGAAATAATTTCTTGATATGTCATTAGTTATTTGCCCATGTCAAGGTACTATATTGTAGTACAAGTATTGAGAAGCATTCATATTTTCTAGCAAATGCTAGTGCTAGTATTGAGTGTGAGTTGTTTCACATTTGCTGGAGCAGGAGCATCATAATCACACTGCCACAATTTTTACTCTGATAAATTCTTAAATTTACAGTTGATTTGAAATTTTGTGTATTATAGTGTAAAGAATTATTTGCCTAGCATTTCAAATCATATTTTGATCTTGAGTGCACATCAAAATGCAAAGATTTATGGTAGCTAATTGAAGTAAGTAATTGTTTAACAAATAAACATTAGTTTTAGTTTGGGTATTAATACAACAGTCTCGTGTAATATAAATTAATTTTTTATAGAATTTTCTCTCATTTCAAACTGGTTTCATTGCAAACCCAAACTATAAAATTATGAACTGTACCTCACATGCATCATTGAATTTTTAATTGTTCTCTGTTTTACATCATTAATACCACAATTTATTTTGTAAATCATTTGCAAAGGATTTGTTACACATTAAAAAATTAAAGAAATTTCATGTTCTGCTGGCATGTAGGTGGGTGGTTGCTGTACGATGGTGTAGCCTTGTGGAGAGTGAGGAGCTGTGGCTTAACATACACAGGTCACACCTCCCACTGCCTTGCGCTCAACATGAGAGGGTAAGTTTTTCTAATACAGTATTATTACAATGAACCCTCTCATTAATGGACTAATAGGAAGGAGGAAATGCACAATATTTGCCGATTGTCTGAAACTTTTGAATTATGAAATTAATTTTTCTTGATCATCCGGGTGTGTTCTGAACTAGTGGACTTGGTCCACTAATGCAGAAGACAACCAGAAACTAAGAATATAGATATTGTAACCTGTAGTACATTTCTGTACTATATAGGAATTTTATAGTACATACTGTATGTAACTTACAGTAACTTTGCTTTCCTTTTCATGGTGATGAGATAAGGTGTAAACTGCCATGATCGATAGGGGTGAGTCAGAGGAGCTATTAAGCTTCACTAGCATCTATACTAAACTTAGCTTCTACAGATATCAAAGACTGAATTAATGCCATATTCCTCACATACCTTTGCCACTGAGATGGCAGATTCACTGTTCTTTAACTAATAAAGTTTTTACTTAACAGTGAGAAGCATATTTAATATAAGAGTTTGCAATAACCCATGCTAGATGATCTGAGGTCTGAATTGTAGTTCCTGTTTCGTCTGTGGTGGAAAGATACATCTCAGAGTTGGAAGTTATAAAACACGATGACCTTTCTTTATATATTAATAGCTCAAGCTTGTTTAAGCTCAAGTCATTTTTAATTGAGGCCATTGTCCATAACCTTAAACCTGGTATTTCACCAAATGCTTCTGACTTCCTTAAATATGGTAATGAATCACGAACAGTAGGATTTTTGCCTACCCATACGTGATTTTTAATCATTGATTATTTGCCCACACTTTTGCTCATGTTTAGCTTTGGAACAACCATGCATTAGACCACTCGCCTGCCAGTTGGGGAGCAGGTATTTTTTTATAGGTGAAAGCCAGTGGTATTGCACTTCATGTGTGAGCCATGGTGCCCCTACTGTGGCATGCCCTCAGGTTTGTAGCCATCAGTTCTGTTCTTCATTGTAAGTTCAGTGTTACAGTGAGAGGGTGTATTTACAAAAAGGTTTAATAAACACATGTATGCAACAGACAAACATTATATATACAGAAAAAAAAGCTATGACTGAGTCATGAAGGTGGGAAGGGCGTTACCTGCACTTTGAAGGAAGGTGGGGATGTTTCAGTCATTGGGTAATCAGCACGCTTCCAACAAAACCTCAACTAAATGAAAGATTGTGAATACATTTTCGTCATTGGGTCATCCTTCCTTGGCGGAAGATGGCTATTGAAATTTAATAAAATGTATTGTACTGTAATTTGTATGTATGGTGTTTTCAGCATTTAGTAATTAAGCAGATGTAATAAATAATAGATAGGAAAGGGCTAAAATGAGAAAAATGGTATCTAACACTGGTGCCTTTGAATTAGAAGAGATTAAACTGTGAAAATTGGTGAATTTTATAAAAACAGTAGTTATGCAAAGTGTGAAATATGTTAATACATAGTTAGAAGAAACTTGAAACCTGATTGAAACTTCAAAATAGAAAGGCTAAATGAAAGAGTAGTAAAAGGAAAAAAAAGTTGGATGAATTCTTCAGAAATATTATGGCAAGAAGCACTACTATTGAGGAGTAATTATTGTATGATAGAATCTTTCCTACTTTAAACTGCAAGGAAGAAATAGCAGGTACTGCAACAAAATAGAACAGGTAAATATGAGGTTCAGACTTTAGAAGTGCATTATTCAAGAATGACTTATCCATGATCAGCTCACAGGTATAATTTTTAGCACAATTTCCAGGAAAAATTTTTGGTATAGTACAATGTTTTGTAATGTGTAAAGATTTACACATCGGAATGTTCTTCAGATAAAACCTTATTTTTTCAACTTGTGTCTTGTTATTAATGCATCATTTCAACGAACAAATTTCTAGAAATGAGTTGCAAGAGATTAGAATAAATGATAGGTAACCAAAATCCAAGAGAATTAAAGGGAAGCTCTTGTGAGATGATCCCGTGAGTTTGGAAATACATGTAGTATATAGAAATTGGTAGATAGCTAAAGCTCTGAATTATATAGCAGAGTAACTTACTAAGAGCTCTTTAAGAAAATATTCATATTCTTTATTCTTGCTTGTCCATAGGTTGTCAGTAGTATACAGCTTAGTAGTAGTACTGAGCGACAAGATCGAAGAGTAACAGGATCCAGCCTTATAGATGAGCAACTTCAGGGGGTGGTGACACTTGTAGTGCGTGACTTCATTCTCACTTGGTATAGCCATCTCTCTTACCACCAAGCTTTCATTACTCAACTACATCGCACCATACAACACTCTATGATTGTCCTTGCAAATAGGTAAGTGCTGTAGTTGATAGCAATAAAGTTTTTACCTTTTAAATATTTTAGACCAATTAGTCACTTAGCCAGTCACTGATTTCTTATTTTGGCTAATAAATACGTTTTTCTTATCAGATGTAAAAATATGGATTGGGTTGGCTATCTTACTACTCGACTTGTTGATGACATTGCCTGTCATTTACGGTTGTTTAGAGAAGCCAGATCTGCTGCACGTGGAAAGGCCACTAGTGAAGAGTTGATTGATCATTTCTTCGAAAGAGAAGCAGAAAAAGAAAAGGATTTATGTCGGGATGAAGTATGCTTAAAGCCAGATGCAGAAAAAGGTGAGGCACATACTACTTACAAGTGTCCCTTGCTTATAATAATAGTACATATAATAACTTTATTTACTACAAGTACATGTACAAGGTGTACAGGCCTAGCTGACATCAGTGACATGCTACTACGTATATAGAAAGCCGCCTGTTATGCTGAGCATTTCGGGCAAATTAGGTCAGTTTTTTCCCAGGAGGTGACCCACACCAGTTGCGTAATACCTAGGTACCCATTTTACTGATGAGTGAACATAGACAACTGGTGTAAAGAAACACGTCCCATGTTTCCACCCCTTCGCCAGGAATTGAACCCGGACCCTCACTGTGTGAAGTGAGAGCTTTTGCTACCAGGCAGTAGACACATTCCTGGCTGATGGCACACAAAGTGGACCCCTTTATAACATGTAAAATCTAGGAATTTATTCTTAGAATTTGCAAATTGCACTTTTCTTGACTAATTTTTTTATAACACACTGGCTGTCCTACCAAGGCAGGGTGATCTGAAAAAGAAGAAACGCTTTCATTTTTCTCTTTTTTACATTTAGTAATTTATACTAGAGAATGGTATACTAGTCCCTTGCTCCTGTCATTTTAGTTTCCTCTTATGACACACATGGGTTATGGAGGAAAGATTCTTCTCCACTTTCCCATGGAGGAATTTTTGACTTTGCTAAAAAAAAAAAAAAAAAAAAAATAAAAGAGGATACCACACTTGCACCAAATGGTCATAAACAAACACATACAAAAAAAAAACTATGAATCAAGAGACAACTTAAAAAAATAATTAAATTTATTCCACATTTTATTTTTACCCAAAAAATATGAGCATACCAGATAGGTACCAAATGCCCATGTACCAAAAATACATGCAATTAGTCAATAAAATTGAAAATTCAAATTTAAAATCCTAGTACATAAGAATAGAAGAGCACTGCAGTAGGCCTATTGACCCATGCTAGGCAAGTCTTACTTGCACCCATCCACTACATAAGAGATGTATGCACTTTAGGAAACCCCATTGTCCTATGCTAGGCAGGTCCTACTTGTATCCGACACATGTTTAGCAGGATTGGTAAATAAGTGTTGGCTTATTATTTGCATTCTCTTTGACTGCCTGCTGACAATCATGCCTAAGTACATGTCAGTGGTTGGTGAGTGAAAGAGGATGAGGAGGTGGGGATTGGGAAATGGTCAAGTGACATCCAGTCTCCTCCTTCCCCACTCTATAATAAACTAAAAATAATTATTTGTATTGTCCTATGCACTCATGATATACAATTCATATTAATAAACTGAAAAGAGAAACAAAACAGTGGTTAGTCTTGAGGATGAGAACAGTAACCAATCTGACATGGCATAAGCAGTAATCAACTACTGTTGATAAATAAGGCAGAGGGAAAGGGTTAGTCATACAGCCAGGTGACACTTGCTACACTTAATGCATTCACATCTCACCCTCCCTCTCGACACACTGCAGTGTGTGGTGAGAGCTGGTAAGGAGAAATGTGTAAGTACCAGTGTTTGAATGACTTGCACAACTTAGGAAAAGTTTTTTTACTAGCTATAACTGACTTAGGGATAATAGATATAATGTATAAAATTTTAAATACAGTGGACCCCCGGTTAACGATTTTAATCCGTGCAAGAGGGGTAATTGTTATGCGAAATAATCGCTATGTGAATGAATTTTCCCCATAAGAAATAATGGAAATCAAATTAATCCGTGCAAGACACCCAAAAGTATGAAAAAAAAAAATTTACCACATGAAATATACATTTTCCCACACACAAAGAGAAGGATACATGCACAATAGTAGAGTAGTACATGCACAGTATATATTGTGCATGTACTAGTCTACTAAATGAAGAATAAATGACACTTACCTTTATTGAAGATGCAGCAATGACTGATGAGACACTGTGTCCTGGGAGTGCCTTTTCCTCCTGAGTACTGTAGGTCCTGTTTGGCATTTTCTTCCAGAACAGGCCTTATCACACTGTGTATGCCACTACGATTCTTAAATCTCTCAAACCAACCTTTGCTGGCTTTAAATTCACCAATATGAGCACTAGTTCCAGGCATTTTTTCCTGTTCACCTGGGTGTTAGTCAACTTGTGTGGGTTGCATCCTGGGAGACAAGATTAAGGACCCCAATGGAAATAAGTTAGACAGTCTTCGATGACACTGACTTTTTTGGGTTATCCTGGGTGGCAAATCCTCTGGGGTTAATTGTTTCTTGGTATTCTCAATAAGCCACACCAACAACGGTGCTACAGCAGCAGCAGCAGCTGACAGTGCAGCAGCAGCAGCAGCTGTACCACCAATAGTAGCGATGGTTGATTGGGGTTTATTATACAACCTGGCCAGCTCGGAGACATGCACTCCACTTTCATACTTATCAATGATCTTTTTCTTCATCTCTATTGTAATTCTCACCCTTATTGCTGTAGGGTTGGCACTAGAAGCTTTCTTGGGGCCCATGGTCACTTATTTTCCAGAAAAAGCACCGAAAACACTGTAATAATACGAAATATTCCGATTGTATGCTTGGATGTTACCGCGGAGGCTGGCTGGTAAACAATGCCACCGGCGGAACATGTGAGCGTGGCTCAGGCCGCGTCTCGGACGAAAATCGGTAAGCGGGTTTTTAAGCGGTATGTGAGGCAAAATTTTTGCGATTAAAGTAAGCGGTATGCGAAATAATCGCTATGTGATGCCATCGTTATGCGGGGGTCCACTGTATACTGTAGCTAATAACCGAGGTGAGTGTATATGAGATTTGTGTGAAATAAATTAATTATCAGTACGTATTCATCATACACCCCTCAAATACTAAATAAATAAATTACTTTATTGCCACATGATATATTACATAGTTTTTACAGAATTGGTTGACAATAGTATACAGCAGGGCTCCACTTATACGGCAGGTTAAGTTCAGACTACAACTGCAAAGCGAAAATCGCCATAAAGTGGAATGCCTTTTTTTTCCAGTATAATGCATATAAATGCCAGATAACAAGTTTACACTAACATATAATAAGTTAACAGTAGAAATAGGCATTAAAAACAACAATAAAAAGTAAAATACATACACAGTACATTTATTACTTAAAATATTCGTAGTCTTTATGTAGGGTGAGAGGTGACTAGTATTTATTGTAGAAAGTCAGGTGTGGTAGCTCGCACTAGCTACCATACCTACATAAAATATACGACTTAAATTTAAAGCACCCCAGAGCGATGATTATTATTATTATTATTATTATTATTTATTATTTATTATTATTATTATTATTATTATTATTATTATGATGATGATGTTGAAGGATAAGTTATGGCAGAAAAAGAGGGAACATAAATGTATAAATTCAAAGATTATGTGGAGTAAAATAAGGGTTGGATGTGAAAAGTAGGTTATAATAAGTGATTATGCACCTGGAGAAGAGAGAAGTGTAGAAGAGAGAGAGAGAGAGATTTTGGGAAATGTTGAGTAAGTACGTGGAAAGTTTTGAAATAAGTGAGAGTACTTGTGGTTGGAGATTTCAATGCTAAAGTGAGCAAAAATGTTGTGGAGGGAGTAGTAGGTAAATTTGGGGTGCCAGGGGTAAATGAAAATGGGGAGCCTTTAATTGAGCTATGTATAGAAAGAGATTTGGTAATAAGTACATGGTACCCTGAGTTTCGAACTTTCTTCATTCCCAAAGGCTGTTCAAGTGCCGTTACCGAACGAATTTGTTCCAATAAGGAATAATGTAAATTAGATTAGTCTGTTTCAGACCCCCAAAAATATACTTACAAAAACACTTACAGTAATATACTTAAATAATTGGGAGCAGCTCGAAACTCAGGGTACTACTGTACATATTTTATGAAAAAGAGGATAAATAAGTATACAAGGTATGATATAGCACATAATGAAAGTGTGTTAGATCATGTACTGGTAGATAAAAGGTTGATGGATAGGCTTCAGGATGTACATGTTTATAGAGGGGAACTGATATATCGGATCATTATTTAGTTGTAACTACAGTTGTAGTAAGAGGTAGATGAGAGAAAACAAAAATGGCAACAAGAAGTAAGAGAGAGGTGAAAGTGTATGAGCTAAGGGAGGAGGAAGTTAGGGTGAGATATAAGCAATTATTTGCAGAAAGGTGGGCTAGTGTAAGTATTAGAAGTGGGGGGTTGAAGAGGGTTGGAATAGTTTTAAAAATGCAGTATTAGAATGTGAGGCAGAAGTTTGTGGCTATAGGAGGGTGGGTGCAGGAGGAAAGAGGAGTGATTGGTGGAATGATGAAGTAAAGGGTGTGATAAAAGAGAAAAAGATAGCTTATGAGAGGTTCTTACAAAGCAGAAGTGTCATAAGAAGAGCAGAGTATATGAAGAGTAAAAGAAAGGTGAAGAGAGTGTAAGAGGAGAGCAGATGATAGAGTGGGAGAGGCACTGTCAAGAAATTTTGATGAAGATAAGAAAAAATTTTGGACTGAGATAAACAAGTTAAGAAAGCCTAGGGAACAAATAGATTTGTCAGTTAAAAACAGAGTAGGGGAGTTAGTAGATGTGGAACTGGAGGTATTGGGTAGATGGCGGGAATATTTTGAGGAACTTTTAAGTGTCGATGAAGAAAGGGAGGTGGTAATTTCATGCACTGGCCAGGGAGGTATAACATCTTTTAGAAGTGCAGAAGAGCAGAATGTGAGTGTGGGGGAGGTGCATGAGGCATTAGGTAGAATGAAAGGGGTAAAGCAGCTGGAAATGACAGGATCATGACAGAAATGTTTAAAGCAGGGGGGGATATAGTGTTGTAGTGGTTGGTATTTTTGTTTAATAAATGTATGAAAGAGGGGAAGGTACCTAGGGCTTGGAAGAGAGCATGTATAGTTCCTTTATATAAAAGGAAGGGGGGGCAAAAAAGATTGTAAAAATTATAGGGAAATAAGTTTACTGAGTAGACCAGGAAAAGTGTACGGTAGGTTATTATTGAAAGAATTAGAGGTAAGACAGAGAG